TTTGCAATTTGTATTAAAATTATTGTAATATCGAAATGTAGACTTGAAAACTCAAATATAACATAGAAAAATGATAATAGCAACATCCAATTTAAAAAGAAATTTAAAATATCAATATTAGTTATGTATGTCGAAAGAAAATGAAGGCGAAAGGAAAACGTCAATTCAAGCAAAGTTCTTAAAAATTGTATTTATTTCAATAAATTTGAAAAACACAAATAGACCTGTTGTTTTTCTTTCCCACTCGTTTTCGTCGACCTAAGAAAGAATTTATCAATACATCTTTGGAAAGTACTTAAAGCAGTGTAATATTTTACTTTCAAATTTGCTCCGGTCCAAAAAAACTTAATATAAAAATATTATAATTCTAAGAACAAAATTAAAGTTTCATGCATATGCGAACGTATTTTCTTTTTAGCGACAGTATTTACTGGAATTATTTCAAATTTCATACATGAAGCTCGTAATGGGTACTACAGCCTATGATAAACATTTTTGTATACAGGTCCACTTTTTAGTATAGCCATACCATATAACGGTAGCTCCCGATATTCGGTATTTTGGTGATTTCAGAAACATTATTCACCGGAATCGTTTCAAATTTTGTATTGGGAGATGCTTATAGTTACTACAACCTATGGAAAAAATTTTCGTATACAGGTCCACGTCTTCGTATAGCCTCTATATAAAGGTACCTCCCGATATTGGATATTTTCATGATTTTAGCGCCATTATTTAACGGAATTTCTATTAAAAGTTTGTAATGGGTGCTATAACAAAAAAATTTCGTAAGCAGGTTCACTTCTTCCTATAGTCTACATATAAAAGTTTTAATTTAAGTGGTTGTGTCCGGAAGTTTTTTGAAAATTTTCAAGTTCCTTCCAAAAGGTGGAGGGTATTAAATGTTCGGTCCGGCCGAAATTAGCTGCTTTTTACTTGTTTGCTTTCAAATATACTCTGGTCCCAAATAATTTTAATTAAGAATAATAAATTTTAGAACGAAATTAAAATTGAATACATATGCGAACATATTTTCTAGTTTCAGATCAGTTTTTCTTTTGAAACAAAACAAAAATACAATTTTATATATGTCAAAAATGTGAGAGTTTTGTAAAACTGGAACTGTTTCGACTCTTTTTTTTTCCTGTATTCCTGTACGTTTGCAAAATGCATTCAGAGTTGTTGGGAAAACTACCTGAAGGAACTAGGGATATTGCTTACTTTTTCGATAAGTTTCCATACGACTCGGATGTAAATCCATTGAATTTACATTTTTTACATGAGAAAGGCCATAATGTGGAATAAATATGTGATATAGCCGCGAGTTCAGTAAAACTGAAACTGTTTCGGCTCGTTTTATAATTGATTTTCCTGTAACTTTGAAAAATGTTTTCAGAGTTGTAAGCAAGCGTTCCGGAACAAATTAGTATTGCTTACTTTTTTGGATAAGTTTCCGCACGATTCGGATGTAAATTTTATGGATTTATATCCGAACCTTATTGAAAAAGTTTCTGAAACAAACGATCAACAAATAAGTTTTGACTAAAAATATCGCTTTTGGTAGCATAGTGCAATAGAAAGCATTATCGTAGCCTGAATAAAAACTATCATCCTAATTTCGGTATGTTTTACATGTTTCCAAACAATAGTTTTGGATTGAAGGTTTGGGGTTTTTGAATGATATTTCTATGTTCAACACTCATTAAAGTTAAGACCAATATTAAAATAAACATTTTAAGCCATATTATTTATATTTTCTGAATCGGTTGGAATCTTTTCTTTTTTTTTTTTTTGTGTTTTGAATACATTTTTACTGAAGATCATTAATTGCTTGTTTCAATATTATTTCTATATTTATAATAGAAAGTGTGATTTTGAGTATGAAATTTTAACGTCGTATATTTACTCATATTTTTGGCGTATTTTTTTTTTTTTTTAATTTTTGACTTCTAATTAAAGAATGTGCAGGACTTAACAGTCCAGCCGCTCACGTTAATTGACTCCTATGTGCTTATATAGCAAATTTTATATAATTAATTTTTAATTTTTACCTCCACCATAGTATGAGGGGTACATTAGGTTTGTCATTCCGTTTGTAACACCTCGAAAAATACATTTAAGAACCCACAAAGTATATATATTCTTGATTAACATAAAATTCTAAGACAATCTAGCAATGTCCGTCGTTTTGTCTGTCCGTTCGTTTGTCTGTCTTTCTGTTGTAATCACGTATCTTTCGAACGAATATTGCATACATGCATAGTTTATCAGGCTAAGCTCGTAAATGGGTCCACGTTTTCGTATAGCCCTCATATAAGGGTACCTCCCGATATTCGGTATTTTGATGACTCTAGCCACATTATTTACTGGAATTGTTTCAAATTTGGGATTTGAAGTTCGCAATGGATGCTACAGCCTAAGACAAACTTTTTTGTTTGCAGGTCTACGTCTTCGTATAGCCACCATACAACGGTAGCTCCCGATATTCGGTATTTTGATGATTTCAGCAACATTATTCACCGGAATCGTTTCAAATTTCGTACTGTGAGATATTAACAGTTACTACAACCTATGGGAAAAAATTTCGTATGCTGGTCCACGTCTTCGTACAGCCCCTATATAACGGTACCTCTCGATATTCGGTATTTTGATGATTTCACCAACATTATTCACCGGAATCGTTTCAAATTTCGTAATGTGAGGTGTTAATAGTTACTACAACCTATGGGAAAAAAAATTTCATATGCTAGTCCACGTCTTCGTACAGCCCCTATATAACGGTACCTACCGATATTCGGTATTTTCATGATTCTAGCAACATTATTTACCGGAATTGTTTCAAATTTGGGATTTGAAGTTCGTAATGGGTACTACAGCCTAGGACAAAATTTTAATTTTTAAGTGCCTTCCAATTGGCACAGTTTATTAAAAATTCGGCCCGGACGAACTTAGCTGCGTGAAATGATTATCTTTAGAAATGATTATCTTTTAGAAATGATTATCTTTTTTATATTTTTTTTTTCAAGATTTAATTTGAAAAAAAAAATATTTTTTCATTTTATAGCTAGTTTTGCTTGAAACTGTGAGTATGATCATAAAGCTTTTTTATCTCAAAACCAAATGGATTTCAGAAAAATATATGTTTATCCTTTTAGGAATAGTTTTCTTTGGAAAACTTAATATAAGAGATTTTTATTTTGATTTGAGATTTTCTAGATATAATTTTTCCATTACTCTTTCAAAATATTATTTTATTTTGTGAATTGTTGCCTTCAATAATGGCATATTTATAACATGTAACACATAATATTGATATTTTCTAATGAAATACTATGTGCCTAATAATTATAGCTATTCATTATATTTTATATGCATACATAAGTAAGACCTTCGAAATATCTGAACCAGTGTAGTTTTTCTGAATACTAATCGTTCCACAATTGACTAATATTCTAAGATGGTCTAAGATGGCCAAAAAAAGGGCTAAGATGGGTCAACTAATTTTGATTTTGGAATACTTTTTTTTGGAAATAATTGTGCCCACATCCGATACTGCGGAAAGTTAGAAAATCGGTATTTTGTTAAGTTTCCTCAATTTAAATTTTACCAGTTTTACCATTTTGAGTGTGAGTTTTTTTACACATTTATTTTTCGTATTTTTAACTAAAACAGCTACGAAGATAGAAAAACAAATTTTAATTTGTTTAGCGAGATAAAGTGATAGAGTTGCGTCCATCGAACCCGTTATTTTTCTTATGTTTTAAAATGTGAGTTGCCTTTTTTCATCCTATTTTCTCACTAGTTCTTTGGCTAAGAAAAACAAAATACGAAATTAAATATGTTTTGCTAGAATGGACTCATGGATGGAATTGTTTAGCATCTCGTACTTTTTTCCTTAACAAAATTGCAGTAGGGTTTTATGTAGATTCTTTGATTGGAAATAATGAATTTTTTTTCAAAGGCTTCTTTTTCCATGTTTCCCCCTAAAATCTAATTGATCCCACCATTATGGATCCAGTGTTTACTACACTTGTATATCTTTCATTTGACACCCATACATTGTCGTTGTCTCAATTTCTCCTTACGCTATCCAATTCGAGGAAACACAAAGGAAACTAAATTTCAATAATAGTTTGCGACAGCAATTTCTTGAATTTTAAAGTGTTTAATAACTTTACAGTCACTTAACGTTCATTTTTTCATATTTTTTGCTTTCGTCTTCCATGTACATACACACGACACTTTAGATGTTGTTCACATGTGTGTATATATATTAAGTACTGTTCTCATACATATATATACGACAATGGCGACAACAACAAAAATGTCATATGTGCTATAAAAAGTACATAATATACGCATATTGGCCAACAAACACATATATACATGGCCAACAGACATATATACATGCATATCTATATACAATTGCATACACATATAAGTATATATATAAATGTGTGTGTGTGCATATGGATATATGTAAAACTGAAAAATGTTTGTTTGCACATATTGTATGTGTTGTACTTGAACAATACGTAGTCATAAAATCCAAAAAATAGAAAAAAATGAAGAGGATATATCGATTTGTTTTTTGAAAAAGGATATGGTATGAAATGCCAAAGCCAAAAATAACAAAACGACAAAATGTTTAAATGTTCCATATAGAAAATGTACATATCTCAAAAATACATATATATATATATATAGAGAGATATGTATAAAATGTATGCATTTGTATATATGTATTTCCGAAAAAAAAAATACTTCCTGACAAATCCCTTAATAAATAACATCTACAATTACTTCCTGTTATTTCACTTCCTGTCTCTGCGTTTTTATTTATAACTAAAATAAACAAATTATTAATATTTTTTATTATAAGCATTTAACTCTTACTTGTTTCTTCAACTTTACCAAAAAATTTTCAATATTATTTTTTTTTTCTTTTAAATGAATTTGATTTTTAAACACTTTTGATCATCAAGTCAAAAAATATTTACTTTTCTTTTTAAAACACTAATAGATAATTTTAGCTGCTTTTGCTTCGCTTTTTGATCTTGGAATCTATGGAAATCTTCTTTTTGATTTTCTTTGCAGATTTCGAAATTATATTCTTTTGATTGGATTCACTTATTTCCGTTTCGATTTCCTTTTTTAATTAGCTGCTCGTTTCAGATTCGTTTTTTACTTGATTCTCGTTTTGCCCACTCACACAATCAAACACACGTTTCGAAATCAATCTTCTAAGTCGCGTTTTCTCGTTGAATTTGTTGGTTGTCGTTCGCTTTCCTATTACAAAAATTTGCTTTACTTTTCGTTTCTTTCTTGTTCCGAGACAAAGAATTTCAACTTTCAATCTTGCCTATCGTCGTCGTCGTCGAATCAAGAGGATGGATGCTCTGGTGTGTGACACTTTTGCTTTTGCTTGGTTGGCTTCGATTATTTTGATTTTATTTTTTACTATTTCTTTTGCTTCTTTTTTCTTGAAGTGGTAAATATTGAATAAAATAATAACAACTTAACAACAATGTAACGAATATCCTTTCATTACGAGGACACAATTCAAACTGAATGCGAAGTTAATTCGTCGTCTTCACAAATAGTCACACATCGGTCGCTTTTGTTTTTTGTTGCGTTTTACCATTCGCTTAGAGTAAACTTGTTTTGAACTCACTGTCATTGATTTCGACCAGTGGGAACTCTCATTCGCAGACGAAAATCACTCTCTTTCATCACAGCACATAGCATTCAAGCTACAAAACCACCACAGATGATGGCATACGTATGATGAGCAAATGCCAAAGATATTCTCTCTCTAACTCTCTCTCAAAAGGACAACTCACGAATGCCAAATTCAACATTAAAGGAATTTCGTTTATTTAATGTAAGACCTTGCTAATAGATGTCGAACACAACACAATTCAAACACCCTTTCGTACTCAAAGAGTTTCAACAGATTTAAACAAGTCTACTCTCCTACTTTCTCTCCTCCTTTGTTTGCGCATGCTCCAAACATGTATGCAGCTCAACGAAGTCGTAATCTTCCTCGATTCTCCTGTGCTTCGTTAACAAATCGTGATAGCGGCATTATTATTCTCACCATCGTTGTTTTGCTTTGACTCATTGTTGCGCCTCTCGATTTGCAGTTACACCACGTCCTCGTTATGTGATTACAAAGGACATTCGAACATCCCTTTCAATTCAACACATTTTCGAATGGGTTTGTGTCCACGACAAGCGGGGTTGACATTTCCCGTTATTATTTATGGCATCTTGTAGTTTTTCGAATATAACATTCAGAAATTATAACAGTGAAAATTTGTTACAGCTAGTATGACAATTTTATTTAATGTTATATGCAAATGATAGTGATATATTGTCAGACTTTAGTATTTATAACAATGCAGTTCAATAGATTTAAAGGAAACCAAAAATAAAACCAAAAATAGTCAATTGTTTCAATTCAAATATCGTCTGCGTCGTACTCAAGAGTTTTACACGCCACTTGTTTTGAGAAAAACGCAAATTAAATATGAAATCTCGAACTGGAGCTGACAAAAAATGGACTTTTATGTTTGACTGAAATTGTTTAGAATAACTCACGAACTCTACCTGGAATATTTCAGAGGCCTGTCTGCTAAAACAAAAAATAATATATGAGGAGTTGTTTAATGCCCCACTTTTAACATAATTGTAAAATATTGTGTATGGCTGGGAATATATAAAAAGAATGTTTCTTATCTTACTTTCAAAGACGAAAAAAATATTCTGATGTTTAAAGGGATTTTCATATAATAATTATAATTATTTTAAGATTTAAAACACAGCGGACCAAGATTGAAGAAGATCCGATCAGTTTTAATTCAGAACCTCAATAATCTTTTCTTAACTTGTCTCAGTTACAACTTATGTCTACAAACATGCGAATATAAAACAAAAGAGGATAATATTTATAAGTGTGATTGCTTGTTTGTAATCTAATGACTCAAACCCGCTAAACAGATTTTCCTGAAAATGTTCAAGTATACCACAGCTTTGTCTAAAAATAACATAGGCTTTTGTTGTAACAGACAAAACAAACTTACATGGTTATGTTACTTCGTTCAGGTTGAACGAAAGCATAACAAAGTGGAGAAAGATGTAAATGTTTATAAGTGCGGTTGTAAGATTTAGAAGATTTTCCAAAAGAATTTTAGTTTTATGTAATTCTTTTGATCCTCTTCTATTGAGCTTACGATCTCGTCACTTGGGTAAAAAATGTTTTTTGTCATAGAAGTTATTTTTTAAATAACTTCTGGGGAGAATATCCCAGACAAGAAACAAGGGAACTGATGAGGATTGGTGGCTCTTTCCGAAACCTAGGTATTCCCTGCCTTACCCCCTGGTAAACATTACCATCGTTCTCCACTCATAAACAAACGTTGTTTTTATAAAAACAACAATAATGGGATTTCGCCTGACGATTTTGCAACAACAAAATACTATGGTATCCCAAACAAGCAAGCCAAACTCTGTTCTATTAATAGACACAGACACGGTCGACGAAGGGGTTTTTGTTGTAACAGACAAAACAAACTTACATGGTTATGTTACTTCGTTCAGGTTGAACGAAAGCATAACAAAGTGGAGAAAGATGTAAATGTTTATAAGTGCGGTTGTAAGATTTAGAAGATTTTCCAAAAGAATTTTAGTTTTATGTAATTCTTTTGTTCCTCTTCTATTGAGCTTACGATCTCGTCACTTGGGTAAAAAATGTTTTTTGTCATAGAAGTTATTTTTAAATAACTTCTGGGGAGAATATCCCAGACAAGAAACAAGGGAACTGATGAGGATTGGTGGCTCTTTCCGAAACCTAGGTATTCCCTGCCTTACCCCCTGGTAAACATTACCATCGTTCTCCACTCATAAACAAACGTTGTTTTTATAAAAACAACAATAATGGGATTTCGCCTGACGATTTTGCAACAACATAGGCTAAAAACCCTTATTGAAATTCAACTTGTTACTGGTTATAAAGCATCAGAATCGGAGGTACCTCCATAAAATATAGATTTTGTATGAACATACAGGGTAAGTGCGCCTAAGGTCGGCATATCCCAGTAGTCGGCAGTTTTGAAAATTAAACTTAAATAACTAAAAATAGAATTGACCAAATAATGAAATAATTGCAAAAAAAAAAAAAAAAAAAACGTCAACAGTGTTCTCTGCTCTCTCTCTCTCTCTCTCTGTAAAAAAACAATGAGCTCCGTTCATTTATTACGAGAGAATAACGGTTTACGTCAGTGAGTGTCTTCCGTCAACTTAAAAATCGATTTAAGTAAATTAAATTTAATACTTTTGGAATCAGAAATATTTTATTAAAGTAAATAACAGTAAAAATCATTTTATAACTTAAAAACTTTACAAATCAAGCATTTTTCTGTTATATTATTTAATGCCGATTAGGAACAGAAAAAAAGAGATTTGCCAGTAGTCGGCAGGGGGTGCCGATTACTAGAAAAATATAATTTTTGACCCATTTTACGAAGACTTGAGAAAACTATTAAAAAATTATCCAAAAACTACACAAATAAAAAAATATTCTTTTTTCTAAATTAAGTAGGTTTTTTAATTGAGGTTTTTATTTGACGTTTTAGATGGCGGTGGCATTTTTGAAGAAAGGAAAGAGATCAATTCACAAATTCCAAATATAAGAAATGTACTTTTTATACCCTACACCACAAGGTGGTCAGGGTATTATGTCTTTGTGCATTTGTTTGTAACAGGCAAAAGGAAACGAGATAGACCCATAGTTCCTTTTGATGATCTGCATAGAATCACATTCTGAGTCGATTTATGCATGTCCGTCCGTCCGTCTGTCCGTCCGTCTGTCCGTCCGTCCGTCCGTCTGTCCGTCCGTCCGTCCGTCTGTCCATGTATTTTTGTAAACAAAGTACAGGTCGCATTTATTGCCCGATCCAGATGAAATTTTGCACAGATCATTTGTTCGGCCCAAGGACGAACCCTATTGAAATTGGAGATAATCGGTCAAAATTTAGATATAGCTCCCATATATATCTTCGTCCGATTTGCATTTTATTGTGCACCAAACGTGTAATATCAGTCCGAATAGTATGGAATATTGCACAAATCATTTGTTTGGCCCAAGGACGAACCCTATTGAAATTGGAGATAATCGGTCAAAATTTAGATATAGCTCCCATATATATCTTCGTCCGATTTGCTTTTTATTGTGCATCAAACGTGTAATATCAGTCCGAATAGTATGGAATTTCGCATGTACGATCAGATTGGACCTCAAAATAAGTATGACAAATTTCATCGAAATCGGTTCAGATATAGCTATAGCTCCCATATATATTGTTCATCCGATTTGTTATTTTTGTCCTCCGCAGCCGTAATATGCACTCTGTAACAACAATATTTGGTGAAATTTATCAAATGCAGCTCAGAAATACATTTGCTAATTTTTATCGAGATCGGTTCAGATTTGGATATAGCTCCCACATATAACTTCGTCCGATTTACATTGGATTGTGTACCAAACGTCTAATATTTGCCCAAATTGGATGAAATTTGGCACTTACGACCGAATTGATTCTAGAAGCTAGTATGTCAAATTTAGTGAATATCGGTTCAGATATAGCTATAGCTCCCATATATACTGTTCATCCGATTTGTCATATTTGTTACCCACAGCCGTAATATGCACTCCGTAACAACGGTATTCAGGGGAATATATCAAATAGAGCTCAGAAATATCTTTGCCAAATTTTATCGAGATCGGTTCCGATTTGGATATAGCTCCCATATATATTTTTATCCGATTTCAGATTAATTGTGCACCAAATGGGCAATACAACTCCGAATTTAAAAGATACAAATGCTTCGGCATATTTAGTCGTTTGAAGTTTAAATTATAATTATAATCATAGCGTCTATGATTGAATTCTTCCATAAAAACTTTTAATTGCTATGCGCAGCTCAACTAAATTAGCAAAGTGGTGTAGGGTATCATAAAGTCGGCCCCGCCCGACTTTAAGACTTTCTTTACTGGTTTTATTTTAATTTCATTTTTATTTTAATTAAAAATCCATACGTTACTGAAGGTAACCATACTATTCTTGATTTTCTACCTATATTTGGTTTAGAATGATAATTAAATAAACCACTATTTAAAAACGAAATTAATTAATTGAACTGTGAATTAGTAATATAGCATTGTTTTATACTATTAGAAATAAATACCATATGCCGACTACTGGATATAGCTCCCATACATATTTTCGGTTGATGCATCAAATACGCTGTGTATGTAAAATTTAAATTGAATTTGGAATTTGTAACAAAATATGGTACACGAATAAATTTACCAAATTATATTGAAACTGGTTCAGATTTGGATATATATTCTTGATCAGCATAAAATTCTATGTCGATTTAGCGGTGTCCGTCTGTCGGTGGAAATAACTTTAGCTTCCGAACGAAATGAAGTAGGCTAATAAAATTTCACTCAAATGTATATTATATCTGCAGGAGTTTTGGTATTGAAAATGGGCCATGAAGGTCCACGTTTTGGTATAGCCCCCATATAGCGGTACCTCCCGATATTCGGTATTTTGATGATTTTAACGACATTATTTACCGGAATTGCTTCAAATTTGGTATTACCTATGACAGGAAATTGTCTGTGCAGGTACACGTTTTGGTACAGCCCCATATAATTCGTGTTTTGATGATGCAGGTACACTTCGTCGTACAGACCCTAACATAATGGCTACATTCGGTATTTTTAAGATTT